TAGACCAGGGCTTCTTAAACTTTTTTCATTCACGACCCCATTTATGATTGCGAGTTTCCTGGCGACCCCATATAAATATAAAAGAAAGATCAATAAAATTAAAAAAACAAATACACATCTAGATGTTATAAAATCGTATATTTAAATATTTGACATTAAAATTTCTCGCGATCCCAGAACTTTGCTACGCGACCCCATTTGGGGTCGCGACCCATAGTTTAAGAAGGCCTGGTCTAGACCTTTACCCCAGTCTGTCATAAATCTCGCTAACCAAAACAATGACGTCACCAATGGATATAGGTACATCTCCAAACAGTTTGCTTTATTATTGCCTATTTAGTATTACCTGTAATACATTCCCGACTGCTATTTAGGAAATGTATAGATTTCCTAGGAAATGTGTCTAATATAATTTATTTCACACATTTCCGGGCGATTGTAGGAATTACATAAATTTCCTACGAATTGTGTACATTTCCGGTAACATATGTTTATAAACCACTGCTTACCTTTGGTTCCGATTTGAGTTTTTTCGCAGGCGGGGGTGATGACGCGCTATCGTCACCACTACTTCCTTGGCAGTTCTGCTGTTGTAACTGCTGAGGTTGCTGGGTCGTGGCGGCGTTCATCGACGGCGGTTTCGATTCGAGTTTTACGGGCCCGCACTGTTGCTGCTGCGAATGGTTGTTTTGAGCGGGAGGACTTGGCGGTAACGCGTTCGTAACTGCGTTGTGACCGGACATTGGGGGACCGGGGCCCGTGCTCGCCGGAAACACCGGTCGCTGCAACCCGATCTGATTCGCACCGGATGTCGCGTTCACACGCACTAACCCGTTCACTTCTGTCACTACGGACGAACCGCCGCCGCCCCCGTTGGGCGGAAGGGTCTTACCCGTTGCGGCTGCAGCTAACGTCGCCGCGGGAGACTGCTGTTGTTTATCTGTCACTATGCCCGCGGAAACCCCCGACGAACCGCCACTGCTACCGTGTTTGTCGCGCGCTTTGTCGCGACGATGACTACTTGAGCCGCGCTTACTACTGCCGGTGTTACCGCCACTCCCGTTAGTGCCGCCACTGGAAGCGCTATTGCTGTTCGTTAGTATGTTATTCGGCAGTCCACCCACGGAATTGACCGCAATAGATCCCGGCCCTTGCGACGACGGATGCATTTGCTGCGATTGCTTTGATGCAGACGATTTCAGTTCGTTCACTTCTGCATTGCCGTTCTGTAACAATAAAATAAATACTGTTTTAATGTATGCTTTAATACTTTTCGATCTAGAATTTTGTCCTCATCATCATCATAAGGTCGTCTGTCCTAAGACTGGTTGACACGCACCTCCACTCTTTCCTATCTTGAGCTAATCTTCGCATTTCCTTAAAACTAGAACATCCTTAACTATTTGTGAACAGTAATCTAACCTAGGTCTACCTCTACTCCTTAGCTCCTATTTCTGCCTTTAATATGTCTTTGACTAGAGATTCATGCCTGAGAAGGTGTCCTACTAACCTATCTCGCCTATTTCTTATTAACTTCTATAGAGTCCTCTGTTGTCTTATTCTATCTAATACCTCTTCATTTCTAACCTTCCCTATCGACAGTATCCTCATCATGCGCCGATAACACCACATTTCGAACGCTTTTAACCTCTTCTTTTCCGCAGAGCCCGCCGTCCATGTTTCGCACCCGTATAGCACCGCACTCCAATTACACCTTGAATAATCTTTTTCGAATTTCTACATTAATCGTTCGCGAAAATACAAGTGACTTCTTTTTATTGAAGGCGACTAGGCCCTGCGTTATATTCTGCTTTATATTCCTACTACTCTTTTCGTCCTGACTTATCTGACTTCCTAGGTATCTACTAATCAGCCACTTCTTCTAATTTTTATTCTCATACCTTTATATTCTCTCTTTTCCTACTTTTCCTTCCCTTACATACCAGTATTTTTGTTTTACTTTTATTTATTTTCATACAGTACTGTTTTGTCAATNGGATACCTGAAATCGGCCACTTCTTGTAAATTTTCGTCCCCTATCTTTATATTCGCTCTTTTCCTACTTTTCCTTCCCTTACATACCAGTATTTTTGTTTTACTTTTATTTATTTTCATACAGTACTGTTTTTTCAATACCGCTTTCATATTATTTAAAGCTATCTCTAACTTCTTGCTAGATGCTAATACTGCTACATCATCTGCAAATCTAAACATACTAATCTTTTGCTCCTGTATATCTATCCCTACAGTTGTACTGTCTTTAATGATGTATGGATTAAAAAGTAGCGGTGTCAGTGTGCACCCCTGTCTGACTTCCTTCCTAATAATTACTTCTCTACGTTGCTGCTCCAGCTCTATAGCTCCATGTTGCTTTTTATACAAACTAAGTATCACTCTTCTATCTCTGTAACTCATCCCTGCATTCTTAAGTAAAAATAACATCTTGTCCTAATTAACATTGTCAAAAGCTACAAATCCTATGTACGCACTCTTTCCTTTTCCTATAGTTTTCTCTATTGTTTTCCGTAAAGCTAGAATGGCCTCCCGCGTTCCTCTATTTCTTCGAAACCCAAATTGGCCTTACCCTAACAGTTCTCCCGCTCTTTTTTGTCCCGCCTCGTATAAAATTTGTTAAACCGCATTGCATCTGATTTAATAATAGTTTTAACGTTAATACCACGAATAATAATACTGCATAAAGTCAATATTTATTTTATTAATGGAAATTCTTGATCAGCCGATAATATGTATTATTTGTAGTGGACGAATGTACAAATTTAAATGCATATTTATACGTATGTAGATAAGTTTGCGAGTGTTTGTCGTGCATTACAATATGCAAATAGGTAATTTAAACGTATTGACATAGTCACTGATTGTGAGAGTAATATTTAATAAATACATACAGGTACAGGTAATTAATTTTATAGTGTAATAATTTACGGAGGTTACACACCAGGGGCGGCTGATGTGTATTTTTGGATATTTATACATTTTTCCGACCTAATTAGAGACTGTTTAAGGAAGGAGGGATCTAATAAAGGACGATTCTTGGCCATATACGGGGTGGGAGTGTATTGATACTTAAACAACGTTGCTTTTTTGTAAAAAAAAATGAAAATTTATCTCCAGGAAGATGTACTCTACATGCAAATAGGTCTGAAAATGATGTATTTCCTGTGATACAGTCTAAAAAATAGCAAGCCAAAGGAGAAAAACATGGTAGACCATGTGGGTGTGGAGTCCGGAAGTGGTCAAAATAAATCCGGATTGTTAACAGTGAGTCCCTTATTAAAATTTATTAATATGATAATTACGTAAATCTACATTAAACAGCACATAATGTGTAAAATCGCCTTTTACCGAACATCCTGTGCTAAATACAAGACCAATGATGGGATAATTCAACTTGATTGCCTGATTAGACTTTGGTGGATGAAATTGAATGTTGTCAAAATAGAAAAAAGGTTTAACAATTACCTAAATACACGTAGGGGAATCACAGATGTAAACTACAATCACGCAGTTCGATACGATTAAAATAATAACAGAAAACATATCCAGAAGCGATTGTAAAAATTTCAAAATTTACTTCACCTTCCAATTTTCTTTTCAAATGGATAGACTTGTCCAAACGTAAAGTAAATTATCCCTTACCTATACAATGTATTACGTGTAAATTGACATCAATTTAAGATTACTATTTACATCCATCAAAACGGTGTGACATTTTTAATCTAAAAGGTGAAAGTTTACGTCCTTCGTTGAAATCAATTTATAAATACATGAGTCACGGAAATGAGATTAAAATAATCCACAGAAGAAACGCATACAGGGAGAGGTGAAAGATACAACGAACGAAGCATATGCCTCGTCGTCGTGTATTACGCCAAATGCCTACGTTGGGCACTCATTCAAACCTCGTTATTCACTCACTACTTATTTATAGGGTCAATTAAGTTGTAAATTAAATTGCAGTGTTAACTGTATGTAAATATATATTATTATACGTGTTACGTTATGACTTTATTCAAACGCATACGATTAAATGTTATTTAGAACCGAGGTAACAGCGTGAGATGTTACTTATGTAGTAGAGTAAGTAATTTTCATATATTTTCATATACATTTCGTAAATTACGGAAAAAAAACCAGTCAAAGAGACAAACAACAAAAGAAGAGATTAATAAAAACAAGTATCAAGAAAGCTACAAATTGGAGTAAATTATACTTCATTTACTTTGTCTAGCGATGTGCCCCTTCCAATGCCTTGGATGCGCCCTGGCAAAATCGTAGGTTGGGAGAAAAAAGTTCATTATACTCTCGACTCTTGTTCTTTAAACATACTTTTTCATACAATACCTGCCAAAAGTTTTGTTCAATCATGAATATTAGTGCGAGTCGAAAACAAGCGTTAAAGCCTTCAATATGTCTTCAAATATAAATAAACATCTCGTTGATATTTACAGTAGTAAATGGTACCAATAACAGCACATTTGAGCAATGCAATTGTAGTGGACAAAAAGGTCAATTTTTCCGTGCAGTACTGTACGGATTATACGCTCCTCACCGGTTAAGAGTTTGGCCNTGGTACCAATAACAGCACATTTGAGCAATGCAATTGTAGTGGACAAAAAGGTCAATTTTTCCGTGCAGTACTGTACGGATTATACGCTCCTCACCGGTTAAGAGTTTGGCCGAGAGTTGTCTCCTTCTTTTTCTGGCCTAGTGCTGTTCTTTTCTACTTCGCGCCGGTCAAACTGAAGGTCACATCGCTACAGAAAGTAAACGAAGTATATTTAGGGATACGTAAATACATAGCGCGAAGCGTAAGGGTTCTGTTAGACGGAGCGGTCTGAAGCGACAAGTCACCGACACTTTTAGCGTGGTGTTTACCATATTTCTAAAAAAGACTAACTCACCTGTTCGTTGGACTTGACGATTTCGTGTTTGGCCTCGGACGTTTTCGTGCCAGGCTTGGTGCGCTTAATCTTCATCTTAAGTCCTTTGTCCACGGTTGCGGAATGTTCGACGGCCATCTTGGCCGCGGCCGCGGCCGCTACCGCAGCGGCGGTCGCTTTCGATCCCGCACTCCCGGTCGCGTTATTCGCGGACATCGCCGCCGATCCGGACGACGCTGTTATCGACACCGTGGCGGCGGCGGAAGACGCGCCCACGACCCCCTCGTTCGTTTTCTCTATGTCCGCATCCAGGTCGATGATCAAGTTACCTATGCCGATGTCCCACTCGTTATCGTCATACTCGAAATTGGCCGATGTCGAGGTTGGCGTCTGTTGCTGCTGATTTGGCGCGCTGTTACTGCTACTAGCACTACTGCTACTACCACTACTGCTACTGTTACTGCTGCTGCTGCTACTGCTATTGCTGCTGTTACTGTTGCCGTTAGTGTTATTGTTGATAATGTTGTCGGACGAAGAAGACGCCGATAACGTTGTCGCAATATTTGCTGTCGACAGAGACGTGGAAGATGTCGACGAAGAAGATGATGGTCTGGCCGTGGCCCTGCTGCTGATGGGCTCCGCCACCCTCGCTCGGTGGCCCGTGTCCTGCGGGTTAGACCTCATTGGGACTGGTGCCATGCGCCGCGCCGCCGTCGCCGGGTCTGCCGCAGAGTCGTCGACCCGCGGCACCCAACTTCCGGCCACACTGCATCTTACCACCCCTGTAACAAACGGGAATACACCAATTCAGAATGATTTTCTTTTTCGTTTTCCAATCACAGATACCAATCGTGAATCTTAACATATATCCAAGACATATTCTACACAAGTTTAAATCAAATTTTATATAGATAGAGGCAGTTCAGAATCTAATGGACCTTGACCTTGGAATGCGAAATGACAAAACTGCCCATTCACTTATATCTACACTTCTATCTCTTATTGGGATCCGTCAAATGGAAGGAGCCTAAAAACATGGCGCCGATTAGGGAAAACTTATCGTAGTCCCTATAGTGTAACTTTAGTTCCTATAGTTTAACTTTAGAAGAAAACTTCGTCGACTCCATCATCAAAAAATTTTTTACTTTTTAACGTGTTTTATTATTTTAATAAACAATTTTACAATTTGCGTGCACAGTTCCTATGTAAATTTTTCCCTCATTCGAGTTATAAATGGTGTATGCCCATTTGACGGATCCCAATAGGAACATGGGCAGTCACTATTTAGTTCCACCACTAGACTTCAGAGAACTTCCTTTTACCTTGCATTCATTAGAATCCAAAATAAAAAGTACTTATATTTATTTTTGTAAATTGTATAAAAAAAAATACAAGTCCCATGAACAACACTGAATAATGGTTTGCAAATATAAACATGTAAAAAACACTGAATAAATTAATGTAAATGATCTAAACACACATTTAGATAAATACATGTAAATATCAATGTGCTGAAAATGTGTAGAGAAAAAGTGGGTGTAAATGCCATTTCATGTTAAATTTATTATACCCATGACGCTAATTGAGAATGTAAAAAATATGTCATAAATATTTTGTTAAACACACCAGCTGCTTGTCATTTACACATCGACATTGGAATGAAAATTCAAGAATGATACATATTTAAATTTGCGAGTTAACGACATTCATAATTTATACATTCCATGCTTTTTTAAACTAAACGATTGAACAGTCTTTTCCTTTAGGAATCAATCACAATCTTGACGACAAATGTACCTAACAATAATTATCTGTTACACTAGAACCAAATGCAACAAAGAAAAATAAATATTATAGGTACTTGCATAATAGATGCAGTATTTATATTACTCATACAGATGATAATTGATAATATCTTTGACCGAGCCGCATTAGTGGCTGGTGGGAATGAAACACCCAAAAGTTTTTTTTTTTTAATATCTTTGAAGAAATAATTTGTTTAAATTAGAAGCTTAACTATTTCCCAAACGACCCATTTCATTGAAAAATTGTTTACAAGTTTGTTTTCTTAAAGGTTCGTAGTATTGAATTAACTTTCAAAATATAAGTGAATAAATATTTGCACCCACTCCGTTTCATTACGAGTCGCCACTGCCCTACGTCCATACTATATGAGCCACCCTGTACACACATGCGTACATTATTTAGTAATCATGATTCAAGACAGGCAATAGAATCTATAATAAATGCGTTTCTTCCACCTTCCTTAACATACACAAACCAATTCACATTACTCAACCATGATTATCGATTAGACATTTTCAATGTTGTTTTCGAAACGACAGGACACGATTTTCTTCGAAACTGTTCAAGTCTATAATGCCAATGTTGTATCGACTACTGAGCCAATAAAATTTTCTTTCATTACTGACGGTCTTCAGTTGCATTTACATATCATAAAAGTCAAGTGACAACAGTCGTTGTTGTTCAAGTCATGTGTTATTCAAAGCCCTGGTATATTTTATTGCGTCTGTGACAAACACCGCTGTATTTATCCAAAATATCAGTAAGGTTGCAACTTTTTTCTACATACGTATAATAAACTATTTTTAAGTACAGGGTACCAATTTTATTTTATGTCCAAAAAGTTGACAATTTTATTTAAAATTAAAAAAAAAGTACCAAAATGTGCTATTATGTGCTACGTAAAAAAAAAAATAATAATACTATGCTACAAACGATTTTAAATTATTATTCTACACGAAAAATCTATAGGGTTGTTCGGAAAGTCATTTCGTTTTTTCCAAGCAGAGGATTTAATTGTATTCTTTTGCATCCAACTTCACATTTAAGCCGTATAATTTTTATATGCTTTGAGAGCTGATATAGCAAGGCTTATGTGTGAAAAATTCCAATTAATTCTACGCAGTAGTTTTCGGTTGGTGCCCTTTTAAATATGGAGAGCGATAAGCAGCATTTTCGACATATCTTACTGTTTTACTACAGAAATGGTAAAAATGCTGTTCAAGCCAGAAAGAAATTGACTGATGTGTATGGAGAAGGTGTGTTGTTAAGTCAGTACGCCAGTGCCAGAACTGGTTAAATTTATCAAATTCAACAGTTTATGACCACTTGAAAGGCCTGGGATTATCCTCGAAGCTCGATGTATGGGTTCCCCATGTTCTCACAGAGAGAAATCTGTGTCGCAGCATTGACGTCTGCGATTCGCTTCTCAAACGTCACGAAAATGATCCGTTTTTGAAGCGCATCATCACTGGGGACGAAAAATGGGTTGTATACAACAACGTCAAACGCAAGAGGTCATGGAGCAAAAAAGATGAACCGGCTCAAACCATTTCCAAAGCCGATATTCACCAAAAAAAGGTGATGCTGTCTGTTTGGTGGGATTTTAAAGGAATCGTTTTTTTTGAGCTTTTACCGGATAACACAACGATTAATTCGGAAGTCTACTGTCATCAGCTGGACAAACTGAATGATGCACTTCAACAGAAAAGGTCAGAACTAATCAACAGGAAAGGTGTAGTGTTTCACCAAGACAACGCGAGACCTCACACAAGTTTGGTCACTCGCCAAAAGCTTTTACAGCTTGAATGGGATACAATGCTACACCCACCATATTCTCCAGACCTGGCACCATCGGATTATTATTTGTTCCGGTCACTCCAAAATTTTTTAGACGGTAAAACCTTCACCTCAAATGAGGAGGTCAAAAACCTCCTCGATCAGTTTTTTTCCAGCAAAGACCAAAAATTTTATGAGCGTGGAATTATGCTACTACCAGAATGATGGCAAAAGGTGTTGGACCAGAACGGTCAATATATAATTTAGTGAAGTATTTGTTTATTATACGAAAACTGTCTTTCATTTCCACAAAAAAAAACGAAATGACTTTCCGAACAACCCTTTACAATTTTATTTTTGGCTATGGCTTATTGACCGGTTAAGATTAACTACAAGCATCCGCGTAAACCCCTACGTATGCGAACGTTTTCCCGTACCTGTATACATTATGACTACTACATACTGTATTTGTAGCGGTGTTGATCTATTTTTTTATGGTTTCATATTACTTTACACGTCGGTTTCAATTGTTACACTTATGATAACGTTGAGCTTTTGTTTATCGGATAAGTAATCCAATGAAATAGAGGCGATTACTAATGAGAGAACAATAGTTAAGTTTTTGTTTATTCAGTTTTTATTAAGATACAGCTGTACATGTGTACGAAGGGAATAGATACATGATAATAAAATTAATATCTCTCAAACTACCAGGAAAATTAAATTTTTTATTTTACAGACGATAAAGCTAAAATCAGAATTGTTCAAACCGTTACATTAAAATTAATTTTATGTCTTATATCGCAATTGACTGCATTTTATTTTATAGGCGTCATCATTACGATAAAGCAAAAATCAAAATTGTTTAAATCATTGCATTAAAATCGATATTATGTATTATATCGCAATCGACTGCAAGTTTTTGTGAGATTAATGGTAAATGTCTATATGATAATGGGATCGAAAGAGGAGGTCTCCTCCACCACTGTACCATAAAAAGTTCGTGGCGGTCTCACCCCCATAAAAAGTTATGGGGGTTGAAAGTCGATTATTTTGACAATTTGCATACACTGTAATTCAACTAAAATTCAATATAAAAATTATTTTCAAGCGTGTGGAGGTGGGGGATAGCAAGAGGGTGGTCACTTGGAACAAAACCCAATAACTTAACCTAACCTAACCTACCCTATTGATAAAGATATTTAAATAATGTTTTATATCACTTTTTCAATATTTTTCATTAGTTTTACCTTTCAATATTGTTTAAGAATGACTATATAAATATTTACATGCCTAGAAATGTATAAAAATTGGCATATTTATTAACTTTGAACCCCTATAACTTTTTATGGGGGTGAGACCGCCACGAACTTTTTATGGTACACTGGTGGGGGAGACCTCCNGTTGGCCAACTTGGTGAAGGCTCGCATTTGTGTACGTAGATAATCGAATTAATGAAACAACATCGACTTCGATAAATCAAAAGAAAACTATGCGATGATCCTTGGTGACGACAGTGGTCAAGGGTCTGTAATGGCGCATGCATATAAATTCCGAAATGTCGTTTCGAAAATATAAACGAAAAAAGAAGCAAAATGAAACAAAATAAATAAAAGTTGCAAGTAAAAGAAATATATAAACGCTTCCCAGTGTAAGTGTGGAGTTGCGGAGCGAATGTATGTTGATGAATGTTGTCTGCCGTTCGAGAGTCACGAAACTGAGAGTTGCAAAACTTGTCCTCTGCAAAAACAGAAACAATGCTGCGGCAGTTTGGGACTCTTCTCATCCATCACTAGCATCGGCCGCTGATGCTGATGCTGATGCTGATCCTTCTTTTCTGAGATGCTGCTGCGCCACGCTCTCACTTCTTTTATTTTATCACGGACTTCGATATCGTAAGCATATGTATATACGTATTTATGTTGTATCCGTTTTATCCGGCGTTCTCATCTTCCCTGCTCGTGGATTCTTACAAAACATCGCCAGGTCTTTTATGTAAAGTGGGTGTGTCCGGTTAGATATGTAGGTATCATGTTAACTATCTATGCTGGTTTATACGGGGTAGTTCATGAAAAATGAGACACACGAGAGCCTATGCAATATTCCTACATTTTTAAATTTATTCATTAATGTTTATCCAAGATGCGATTAATTTCATTAAAGACACGACAGTTTTGGGGTTAAACAGAAGATTCATCAT